TTTATCTCTAAATTACACAGCTTTGGGGGATAGACTAAGTAATGTATAGTACCAAGATAGAACTCATACAAGAAGTTATATCATAATATATATTATATACTTTAATACTTAACAATTAATTTATCACCCTGTAAAACTCGCAACGAAAAAAAGCACCCAAAAATCCACAATACTATTCATAATGGACGTACTAATGCTATAAATTCCGGTGATATTGAAGTATTACTGAAGTGTTGCGCGATGGGTCACTTAAAGCAGACGCTGGATTACATTGGAACGCCTCATACATCATATTGTTATTATATATTATATTTTATAATATATTATATTAGTTTGTAATGCATAACGCGTTCTTTTTGATTGAGACCATCGTCGCCATACGGGTCCCCCAGCTCGTATTCCTAATAATGTAGTATAAGATTAATAACAATAAATAATAATAAACACGGTGAACTTACGATCGACATTAAGGTCAATTAACAGCCACCAGCCGTTTCCAACGATTTAACTTTCTATTTTTTTCAACGGTCCAGATTTATTTTTTACTCGCCCCCTAAATAATATCATAATGTGCACTATATATCTTGTATACATGTTATGTACGGTTTTTAACTTGCTTATTTCAACATTCGGACACGCGGTACGTCAAAAGTGTAAAAAGAAGGCGTGTAAAAATAACCAAGAAAAAAAAACTATTAAATTTTCAAAAAGATTATGGAATTTTGTTTTACGCCCTAAATAACGATAAATATTTTGTAAATGTGCTTGTGCGGTTTTCATGACAGGCGTTTTGCAAAAATGATTAACATGTAAATCCTGTAAGTCGTACTGTCACCTTAGCAGATGTCGACAATATTTCCATCATCGTTAACCCAAGCAGAACAACCCTTTATTGTTGGCTGTTGTCATTTACCCTGGTTCGATTTTGGCGCCGAGTACCGCCGTAAGTCGTAAAAAACAAATATATCAAACTAAAATGTAAGTAGACCACGTTTAACCGCATTTGCAACGGGCGTGGAACACGTTTTCCAAATTCCCATATGGTCGGCAAACCTCGACCTTTCACAAGTCCATCGACCGTTCTGAGATTATGATAAATAATAGGTATTTAAATTTTCGATTTAGGAAGAAATCATTTGAGAAACATGTACCCCTCTTAGCCAGATGCGTATAAATCAGTTGTAAAGGAAAAACTGGTATATTTTTTTTTAGCAATACAACTATAATGTGTGTAATTTTGACAGATTATTTTTTATACACAACCCAAATTTAGGTTGCATTAAAAAAAAATACTACTTGAATAAGTGACAATCAAACACTTTATAAAATAAACTATAGTTGGTCCCAGAGTTGAACAAAATTATAAAATTTTTATTAGAAATAACGAATTAAATCGACTGCTACCAGAATTTGAGTAACCTACACCTTTTACCCTTGTTACGCAACAGTTTCAACAGTTTTGCTTAACATTTAAGTATATAGCTTGGTCTATAACTTCAGTATAGTTAATTTTCAAACTAAACTTATGAATAACGGCAATGAGTATTGTTATATTTTCTTTTAATTTAATAAAATTATATTGAACTTATATAAAGTTATAAATTACACAAACTATTATTATTGGACTTAGTCAAGTCGATTAACTTGTTTAGCTATCAATATTTTCATAAATTAATAATGTATTATATGAAAAGGAAATACCGTTCTCCTACTCCTAAACACTTGCTGAACAATTGTTAATGTTCTATTGTTCTAATGGACTGTTTTAATGCAGTCATATTTTTTTAAACTATATTACAAACAGCTATCGCATCGAAGCTAAAAAAATGTGTACACCAAATACATTAGAGTAAAAAGCATTTTTTTATAGTGTTTTTTTTTAATACATTCCTTAACCATATGTTGCAACTATAACACTTAATATAATATAATTATGTAATTACAAGGTAGAGTGTCTTAAGTACGTAATTAGACCCTCAAAAACGGGCGATTTAATAATATTATGTATAGCCACTGTGAGAACAGCCGAACGGACCACTTTGTGTATGGCAAAATATAATAACTCAATACCTAGTCGATTATTGTAATATATTGACCGATTAAGCAATTACTTAACAGGGACGAACCATTTCCTCGGATGGATTTAATTATTGTACACCAATTACTACAAGTACACACATACCTGACATACCGGAAGACAACGCAGCTCCTTGCCAGTGTCATTATTACATAATGGGTATTTAATTTTCCCTTTTCTGAAGCACCGCACTTATGTAGGTCCTAGTACTTCGAAAAATACCTAATGCACAGCAATCCTATAAAATATAATGACTAGATTATTAAAATAATATTTAATACCTGCCAGTCTTGACACCACAAAAGCCATTCTAAACATTTCAATATATTTATAGGTAACATTCACTTAAATATTATTTAAGTAAATGATAATTGAGGTTTTGATACCGATCGGTATTGCCAAAACCGTTCATTTACTTTGTGGCATAGACGACAAGCAAGTCAATTAATGTGTTTTAAAAATAATAGCAGTCATAATTAATTGGGTAATTACCATTTTTAGTATTTTTAATTTGTATTACCTACGATAATTGTCAATAAGCTCAATTACCGTCTTATTATTTCTTAATTCACTTAAATTATATTAAACAAACAAAAGCAATGCAACTATCATTATTAATACATAAAAGGAAATTATATTTAAAACAATTTCTAACCTAAACACATAATTTATCCGTCTTGGAACTGGTAATATATGTTTAAATTACACTTAACTGATAATCATCGCCCACCGAAGAATAAAGTGTTCAAAATATTAATTTAGTATTTTCAAGTTGCTTTAGTACATGTACGTCTTGATTTCTAAGGGCAAACTTGGGCGAGACATAAACTTTTATCTTCATTCATTACCTTCGATTAGGTTAATATGTCCGAAGTTATCGCTGAAGGACAGTCTGCTCAATATACAATACTTCAATAGCTTCTTCTCCTTGAAACTACAACGATATTAGATTACAATACAATAAACAGAAACGCCCATTATGTTGCTTTTTAGGCGTTTTAAGGCGTACAATAATATAAATAAAATTTATATTATTTTTTAAAACTTTTGTTATTATTTTTATTATTGTGAGTTTTTAAATAGATTCAAATAAGTAATTTTACAGTCCAACAGTTAGTCTAGTATAATAATAATAATATTGAGCAATCGTTTAATATATTGGTAAAAATTATATTTTTATATTTGGGCTAGATTTTAATTGTTATAATAAAGTAGTTGAACGTGTCTTGTCAAACCTATTAACTACATTATAAAATGTAATAACTAATATATGTAATTTAAGCATATATCATTATTTTAAGTTGCAAATTTTTTAACAAACTAAAAAGTCAAATCTACTCTATTTTACATTAGTGTTTATATGTGGTAAATTTAATATACAATACTGATAACTTCCAAAGTACATGCTTGTAAGGCTGGATAATATTAAAACGTTAACAAGGTAAATAAAACCGTTTTTAATTAAATTTTTAATTTGTTTTTTGTTGTATTTAAGTACCTGTTCATTTTACATCATAAACTTAACTTCATAACTGATCATATTTGATTTGGAGCTTTACACTTTTTTCAAACTCACTCGAGTTAACATCAACATTCCATGAAGATAGCACAAACAAATAAATATAAGTCTAAAATATTATATTAACGATGATATTGGAATATGTATTTTATATTTTGGAGTTTAATTTCCATTGAAAGTTTCATGAATCTTTAACTTGTAATCAAGAGTCAAGTTAAGTATTAGCTGGGTATCTTAATAGGGCAATGTGAAGACTCAAGACCTGGTTTGGAAGTGGCTGGTTTACTAAATTATAAACAATTGGCCTACAGTTTTTAACTCTTCTAGATATTACCTTTTAACTCTAGTATATATATTTATCATTTACATGCATATTTTTTATTTTTTTTTTTAGTCACCTACTGTCTTTTCTAATCTTGATTTACATACTCCTGAATGTTATCGCCAATAACCTAATAAAAAATAACAATAGAACAAGATTACATGGTAATAAACCTAATTTCACTACAAAAATACATATATTAAAATGATAAAAATATCACTTTATAATTATTACATAATATTATAATCGTTCACTCCATGTTGTATCCCAGCAAGATAGTAAGAGCTAATAATAATATATTTAGTGCACAGTTAAAATATATAGCCTAAAATGATTTGTAATAAAGCTTTTTTTTAACTGAGCATTTTATTAATAAAAAAAACATTGGTAAGTCGTCCTATTTCCATATTGTTTTTTTAACAGACAAAAAGAAGATGCAAAATACATTCTTGATTTTTTAATACAATTATATACACGATTTATTGCCTATAAAATTGTTTATATTTATATTAATTATTGAATAATTTTTATCGTCCAGTTTGGCAAAAGAGCGTTATTTGTATTTTATGTTTTACATAGAATTTTATTCACAAGTCATAGTTAATATTGTCATATTCTATCTATGAGTTTAAATTGACAGATTGACTTATATTTTTTTCTGACCTTCTTAGTGTCACGCACAGTTTTATGAACTATATATAAACATTTCAACTTGGTACAAAATTGATCATAACGTGACTATAATAATTGTTAATAAATAAATATAATGTTCTTGGAATGGCACATAATACACATAAACATCATTATGTAACATAAATACAGTGTGTAAATACATTTTACAAAAAAAAAAAAAAAAATGGTTAATGAGCAATGATATGAATGATAAATCATACTTAAAATCAACATTTTATCAATACTTCATCCAAAATTTGTAAATATTATCGTATGTTTCATCTTTATCAAAACAATTGACACAATATTGTGTTTACATAAAAATTTAAGTTTATTATGCAATTCAATTACACAAAAAAACTGTAAGTAAAAAAAAAACTATGAGTACTATTTGTATTTTGACAAATTTGAAGTATTGATAAAATATTGTTTGTTTTCTAAAAATGTAATTATCACAATAATATAATAAAAATATTATACCAATATAACAAATTGATATCAATATAAAAATATAATATATATTTTACATTGGCCATCATTAAACGATTCTTAGAAGTATAAAATAATAAAGAATAAATATTGCACATAAAAGTTGATTGGTTGTTCAATTCCAAATTAATTGGCCAATTTCATACTAAATTTCTTTGTATCTAGATAAACAATTTTAGTAGAAAAAAATATATTAATAAAAAATTAACAATTTGTTGTTCAAATAAAACGGTAACGCACATTTGGCACACGGAATGCTTAATAATAATCACAACATTAATAAAATGTCAAATATTTGCTATAAAATAAAACTAAATAAATACACTACATTTTTTTTTCCGAGTATGACTACTCTCAAAAAATTGGTATGTATGTATAATGTTTAAGACAAATAATAATAAACTTATTTTTAATAATCAAATTTTTTTAGATTGGTAATTGCGAGGTTTTAAAATGTCTCACCGATCATCAAGAGATTTATCGACTTTAAAGAATGATAACGTGCCCATAATCAACGTGATCACTAACAACGATAATTGCACGTACATTCCAAAGTGATTGCTGTAGAAGAAACTAATGGCAGCAGCTATCGACTATAATAACAATGTTTAACCACAAATACAAATTACAAAATGTGTATGGAACCAATGCACGGTAGACAAAAGTCAGTTTTACATGGTCAAAAATCGTTGAAATAAATCTATTTTTGTTTCAGTAGCTTAAGCTGTTGAAGTATTGTATAATTTAGGCAGTGAAATAGTATTACAATATAATACTTTTTTATACAACAAATTGTAGAACTTTAGAAAAAATGTATTCAAATTATAAAACTTTACTTTAAATGAAACATAATAGATATACATTTTTTGTTTTAATATTTCCTCGACGTAAGTATTTAAAAAAAATAATTAACGGTCGCACAAAGCCATATTCTTGGAAACATTTTAAAATTTGTGATGCATCAGTTTAACTAAGAAAATCAATTTATAAATGCATATTATCTAAATTTTACAGTACTTTAACAGTTATAAAGCTTTGGAAATCAATAAATTCATTATTTTGAATATATGGCCATCAAAAACTGATTTTCGCGCATTGACAGAATATTATAATATAGATATTCTTATTCTTACTTGCATAAACTTGAACAAAGCCATTGCCGGTGCACTGTTTTCGGAATATTTTTTTCCGATTACGTTATAAATTTGTGTGTTAAAACAACTATCGCCAAAACCCAAGAGAAAACTACACAATATCGCAATATACTGACTGTAATAATAAAATTAATTAAATTAAATGGATTAATTATTAATTAAGTAATTAATTATTTTACTAAAAGATCACTTACTTGGGTTCGATAAAAGATTTGGCACTCGTATCGCCAAACGGAGATTCATTTGGTAAATTAATGAAAATTAATCCATACGCAACAATATTGGTAACAAATCCGAGTGCAATCACTGCCGAATGACCAAAGCCTTTAGACCCAACTTCGGTAGTAGTGGCTTTTTTACCCAAAATACTAAACAGAAATCCGCCTAATAACAAAAAACAATGTATTAAAAATCATTTGTTTAAATTATAACAGTTATTTAAAAAACTACCTAAGATTTCTCCGACACCAATAAAGATACCCGATAGACCGACCAACTGTTTACTGTTAGGTCCTATTGCTGTAGTGAATCCAATGCTGGAACTGTAGACGCCGCTATAAAATGATAAATGTAACCCTGCAAAACATTTTTGAAAAAACCATCGTAATTATTTAAGTAATTTAAACACAACATATTTGTCATAACTTATCAAAGTGATCACTTTTGTTAACATTAATGATTCACCTGTAAAAAAGAATGACATGTTTAATAGACACATGTCTTCGGTTAAAAAAAGCGCAAATGAATTTTTCATTTCTTTAACTACGCTAAGAGGTATTCCTTGTTCGTTTTCATTCCCTTCGGAGCTTACGGGCGATCGCAAGACCAAAAACATGATTGTGCCCAAAAAGCAGACACTGATTAAGACAGTGAACAATAACGTTCTAGTAGATGCATCCAAATTAGTTTTGTCATGGAGCACAAAAAACACAAATGTGTTTCCCAAAAACATACTAAACAAAAAATATAAAGCCAAGTGAATGACGGGACACAGTACAATAATTAAAGATCTCGTTTCTACCTCGATTGCAACAATGCCCAAAATATTCCAGAGTTCCTAGACATAGTCGTGGAGTCTGAGTTTAACGTAAGGTAAGTTCCTTGACCTGTCCAAATAATGGACGCTCCGAATCCAATCAAGGCGGACATCAGGTATAGCAACATAGTCGTTGGCCAAAGAAATGATACTAAGAATAAGCTAAAATAAATTTTTTTTATGTTAATGGTATGAATTCAAAATTTACATTTTTAGTAAATTGTAATTCACTTACGTGTAACAACACGCTCCGACAAACATGGACATTCTAGACCCAGCGAAACTTATGATTGACGGTGATATCCAGTTGCATAATGCAAAAAATCCATAAATGATGGCCAAGCTTGTGTACCCGTCACCAGTAAACGACGGAAAATCATTTTGAATACTTTTCAGTACAGTTTTCTAAAAAAAAATATAGCAAAGTTTATTTAACAAATTTATTAATGTCAATTAAGTATAACACATGTAGTTTGGTTTTATATGCATTAATAATGATTATTTTCAAAATGTTAATGTAAAATTTACCACACGCCAATTTTTTAAAACTTATTTATAGTAATTCTCATACTAATTTCAAAGGTAGAATTAGACATCTTCGACTTCGCTGGTTTAAAAGTTATGCTAGTCATACATACGAGCGGGAGCTGAGAGACAATGCAGCGATGATAGTGAAAAACTCGGCAATTTTTTGCACATAATATCAAATTTGACTAACCCTTTTAGACATTTTTTTTTTAACACACCTATGGATTTTTATGTGTTGGTTGTGAGTAAGTAATAAGAAATTTAATTTGTTTGTGAATCAAAATAATTTGTATTGCCAAAATTCATTTAACTATAACTTTGGAACCAGGAGTGACCAAATTTTTGATTTGGGATACAAAGCTAAAGAAAAAAAAACTTAAGAGTATCTACACTTCATGCAAATACATCAATACATGATTATGTCATGATAATTGTATGATTATTTCCGATCTATAATTTCCTTGCGATATATGATGCTAGTATAGTCTTAATTATATGTTCTGGCCAAACGTTTTATAATATCTGGCCTTAAACGATTTATCAATATTTAACATTTCTCATAAATAAATTTCCGTGGTTCACCAGTAATCAAGTGCCTACCTAACAATTTAATTTGGCTATCCTTATATACATATATATATATATATTGTTATATCCTTATATCCTAATATATCCTTTTATACCCTATATTATTTTTTAAAACTCGGTCACAGGCGCTCAGTTTGCTAGGCGAGCAATTGTTCGGTGAAAAGGAACCGCCATCCTCTCTCCGGCAACGGATTGACGACCCATCCCGGAAGCGAATTCGTCAAGAAACCATCTCATGATGGCAGCGTTGGGCCTCCATGGCTCGTTAAACTACATGATTATACTTATATTATGGAGTACCTAATTAGGAGTACCTAATTAGGTGTATCTAATTTGGAGTACCTTATCTTTTATCTCTAATATATAACTACTTACAACCGCTCAAAATAACACACACAAATTTTCCTCGGTAACATTCAGCGTGATGCACGCACAGAGTTTCGTATTGACCCCAGTCAAAAGATATATAATATACATGTCAAAAATCCACAATAGAGAAAATAAAATTAGTATTAACAGGAGAGTAGTTTTTTTGCAAAACTTTGAGCAGTAACAGTTGAATACTTGATTTTTTTAAATATTTTATTTGCTTACTTCAATATTTCCCATCGTTTGAAATGCCGTAAAAACGAACATGAACGACAAGCCCAAAAGGCTTACATTGCATAATCTCCTGTCCATTTTGTTAGTAATTGTCACCTTTAGCTAACAAAAATTCTGCAATAAAAACCAATAACAATATTATGACATACTTGGCGTTTATTTAACAACTTTTATAATATTAGTTAAAATAAAAAATAATAAAAAATATTGATAAAAACGTTTCACGTCAACACTTCACGTTCACTGTAAGTATATAAACTGCAGTCTGCAGCACTGCTGTCTTCTCGTTCTTTTCTAAAATATGGAGGGGTGTAATAAATCATACAAGTATTATAATACCACCAATCAAATTATTATTAATATGGGCAAAAGTCTTGAAAAGATAACATTACAAAATAGGTACTGTTTTGCCGGAACACAAAAAGTATGATAGTAACATCTACTGGTTATCACTTTTATCTTTTTTTCAAATATTATTATAATGTAACCAAGGTAAATCCACCAGAGAATACACCAGTATATTATTTACTCAATGGTACACACATGAACACGTCGACTGTTTTCACTCAATGTATGATAACAGAAACCCAAAATAAGTGCACACGTGGGTTCCCAAATCAACATTGCTCATAAGCCTAAGAATTATTTAAACAAATTATATTAATATGTACATTTAAATACAAAATTGAAAAATTATTAAACATATAATTCTATTTTTATTTGAATAAACATCCAAGTCGAATTTATTTTGAACGAATTCGAATGATAACAAAAATACAAATTCATCACAGAAGCACGATGGAGAGGTCACAATTAAAGAGTTCGAGTTTATGCATTATTTAGAATAATTTTTTATCTAAATAATTGTATTATTCGAATACCCGTCGAATAATATTTGTATTCGAATAAATCATCTTAGATTTGGTAGAATGAAGACTAGATGAGAGATTATCCGAATAATTTAGTTATTATTCGTTATTCGAATAAAAAATGCCCAACGCGGTTCAGAATATTTTTTTAGATTTTTTTGAACTGATAGTCATAATCACTTTCAAATAAACACTCTGCTGCTAAACTGTAGATGATAAAAACCATCCAATTATCCAAACAAAATGATTATATTTTTTTAATTTTTGTGTTTTCCTCGATAAAATGAATGTGACGTTAGATATCATTTTTTTTTAAAAAGATAACGTATGAAGTGAGAAATTTGCACACTAGATTGTGTTGACTAGTCGATTGGAAAATGTATAATAATGTAATAGGTCATCCAACAAAAATATTTAAAAATACTAAAGTTACAGTTTTTTCTAAAAAAAAATGTGTCTTACATTAAATTCATCGTCAAAAGATTATGTTATAAGCAAAAAACTATTAAAATGATGACAGATCTACTTAGAAACGATCATAGCATCTTTATAGCTACTACTAACTATTCATATTTTTACCTATTCTTAGAGATTTGCTTAATTGTTTAAACACAACATAGAAAATATAGGTAAATTAATTAATTATAAAAAGCCATTTGCCGGCAGAGCGACTCCAAGCGCTTGTAAATGTACAAATTTATGGATTTTTAAGATTACGCCGAACATAATATTTCAAATGTATTAAATGCGAATAACCAACAATTTGTTTGTATTATTTTATGCAAATACACACAAATTTTGGGTTACCAAACCTAACCTGTAATTATCTATTCGACTAAGGAATTTAAATAGTACATTATTTTAACGGTCTACTTACCTTTGACATCATACGAAAGCAGTTTGATATCAGAGATAGAATTTTTTTTCTACGTCGTTCAGTGTTTACTCGTGTAAGTTAGGTACTGACTAATTATAATGAAAATAGTATTATTATTATAGGTAATAAATAATATAGAGTAAAAATGCAATGAATGCTTGTATTTACGCAATGAGTATAAATTTACAAGCATAGAAATATACTTAATACTATATATATTATAATATGTATACTACCAAACCAGTACTGAAAAAACACAATCAAGTGTGCAAATTTCTATACTGTTCGGAACCGACTGTTTTGAGACCGTTCTGTTTTTTCTTTACAATTTCTACAAAATTTGCATTGAACCACAAGTACAATTATGGTTAATATAGCAAATTATTTTTCGTGACAATTAAAGATTTAAGTAGTGAATTCTAAACCCTGTTATGCGCTTATGAAACTTGGAAGTACCTACAGAACAACAAAAATAATACATAATTTGAGGTTATTACTTAGTTTACAGTAATTACCGTAGTAATACGTTATAATTGTACAAGTAAAATACGGGTCACGATAATGAGTTAATATATAGCCACACAGCACAGCTTGATACGTAGGTTCTAAGTTTTAAAAACAAAAAAATAAAAAACAAAGAAGTTGTTCATAATTTCATACATTACACTGTTTAGTGTTTTATCTCCTGACCATAAACATAACAAATAGAAATAGTTAATTTAGGTTGTATTGTTATCTTTATTTTTGTGTCGATTGCCAAAGCTGGGTCGTTAATATATTATCGTTATTATGACTGACCTAATAATACAATATTGTTTCTATTAAATTACCTAAAAAATACATAATAACATCTATTAATCGGCATTTTATTTAGGTGAATGCTAGTCAAATATTGTCCGAGTATAAGCCTACACAAGCATACTGTTGTAGTAACATATTATTGTTATTTTATACAAATTTTGATTAAAAAAATAGGTCAGCCCGATGTTGTTAGTATAAGTGCCTACTTAAATAAAAAAATGTAATCTATGTATTTCATAATCAAAATATACTTTTATAGTTATTAATCATTATAAGCGTTATTGAAATTTTTACCAATAATTATGGTTATTAAAGTATTACATTTTTTTTTTGTAACGTGCTTTTGAAGTAACTCGAAACACACGATTTGATATGTTTCTTAGTCGTTTTACGTGGAAAAATATAGATAGAAACGAATTCATTAATTCCCATGTTATAAAATAATTACATATAAATAATTAAATATTATTCAAATTATTACTAACAGTTTAACAAGGCTGGGCAAGTTGACGATTTATAATGACGTCCTTAACTGTTAAATTGAAAATTTAAGTAAAAATTATTATTTACTTAAAGAACTAACTCCAGTTAAATTGAGAAAAAAATAATTTTACCAACACCTACGACAAATTTGTTTGTGATTATAGAATAATTATAATGTAACTTGTCTACAGTCTATTCAATATTACTTAGGTGCCCGGTTTGTTGTTGAATTACCAAATTCGAAAAATTAAAAGCTAAGTTTATTAGTAATTTATAACAAAAAATAACTACGTTAAAAAGTTGAAAATAATTTAAACTCGACAACGGGATTAGGAGAGGTCTGTATTTTGACATTTTGAACCAAAAAGCCTTGCGAAATTTTGACTACATTTATCGGGGGGGGGGGGAGGATCGCCTATGATTTTGTAATAGATTTTACAAATTTAGAACACATTTTTATACTTGCAGAGAAGCTAGGGGGGAGTTCCCTCTCTACCCCTCACTGTGGCCACCCTTGACATACTCTCTACTCTTTACTTACAAATAATAAACGAACACGTATGTGATATGTATGATAATTAAAAATAACTGATATATACTTTTAAACGGCATTTATTAGTATTATGTCTAAAGGTAAAAAGTCCATACAAATTTGGAACTAATTCGGCCATTTTTATAAATGTATAGAGCGCCGTAATTTTTAAGTTGAAAATGGAAATCATTTAAAATTTTAAATATTTTATAAGAATTTAAACGATTAATTAAAGATTGTCTCTCTTTGGGCATTTAAAATTCTATTTTAGCTTCGATGCGTTTTATACGTATTTTACATGTATATACATTTATAATACATAAATACTATACATGTTATGTTGGTGTATACAATTAATATGCATACATTCACCCAACTCTGACTTTTAAGGTATTTAGGTTTGAAAATTAGACAGATTGTAGATTCGGAGTGGGAATATAACATAATATACAATTTTCTCAATTATCTGTTGTGAAAAATAAAATAATAAAAACGGAAAAATTACCCTTTGACAATAGTCGATTTCTAGGTTGCTATGTCTGAGTGAATCAATAGACAACAGGCATCAAACAATGTTTTTAATTAACTATTAATTACGGTATGGCCATCTATAACGATAAATTAAAATAGACAGATGGTCCAGCCTTAACCGTATTACCCCATAATAACTTTATAATGCAAAGATTGTTTTCAAATAAAATCCGTTAAGGAAATTGTATTCAAACACGAGTAATAAGAAAGAAAAAAAGAGTATTTCGACCAAATAAAAAAAGAATTAATGATAGACTATGCAGGGAGAGGGAACTAAAAAATAATCATTTAAACAAAATTTACAGCAAAGCAAGAATATATTTTAAACTTATAATTCTACGTATATAATATGTAGTTACAATAAATTTAAAAAAATTAATGTCTTAAAAATATTTTCTTAACATTGCAGATGCATTATAAATGCTATGAAAATTAAAAAGTTGAATGTAATTATTGAAAAGAGTGATTATGTTTAAAAATAATAATAAATATAGAACATTTTTTACACGAGTTATAATATTTAACATACTTTATGGTATTAAATCATGATAGGTTAATTTTTTTTTATTAATTTTCAACAATTGTATATTGCTTAAATAATCTCAATTAATTTTGATTCCTTTTCCGAAACAAGATTGTCAAATTCTTCGAATAGTTCATAAATATTAAACTTTGCAACAATCAATATATTTTTTAAATATTCTAGAAAAACTTCTGCACACAAAATACTTTCTAGTTTTGATTTTTTACTAATAGTATAGCCGATATCTTGTGCAATTTTCTCTAGTATAAACGTTTGACAATTAACTGTTGTTAAGATCGCAGGTTTGCGATTCTCAGAACGAATTACATCACTTTCATTATTGTATTTTCTCAGTAATATCAAAATCTTAGAATTTTTTTGTCTATTTGTCAATAAATCATACAGATTTTTTATTGTTAGAATATTGGTTATTAGTTCAATAAAATCATCTTCCTCATTTAATTTAAGTAAGCTAGCAAATTCATCAAAACGTTGTCGGTATAATAATATTTTGATTTTTTCCGATGCCGTATTGTACTTCAACAAGTTTAGCCTATCCAAAATGCCCAACATACACGTAACATTATAGTTTTTACCATCAGCATAAAATTAGAATGAACTCGCTTAAGTGAATGGATAGAATCGGAAAGCATTGACATAGGATCCTGAACTTTCTTCATTTCAGATTGCAAGTATGTCACAAATCGATCTCCGTCGTCTAGCCCTCCAAAACCCGTAACCAAAGTGTTCATAATTTTAGTATCTTTTACCACATTATTAATATATAAACTTGAATTAAAATCGTCAAGGCCGTCAAGATTGCTTTGAGACACCATTCTGAGATGTGTACATGCCTTTGTAAGCATTTCAAATGCTGTATTTGGGTTTAAGCTATTCAATTCGTCCGTGTAAGAACGATATTTGTACTTTTTAGGCCACAAATTTATACATTTTTCCATTTCTATTATCAATTGCGTCTCCAAGTAACCGTAAAGATTCTTCATTTGATTTTTCGCTCCATGCATTGTTGCTAATGTTTTCATTCTATCCATGTATAAATAGAATATCCATGAAGAGTACGGACAAGCTACTCCCTTCAACTTCTTAATGTTAATTTTAATTCTAGCGTTCAACATATGCTGAGCCCAATTTGGACACGCCTTATCAACTTTTTTATATAAAATCTCATTCGTGTAATTTTCTGGAGTCATTAATTTCATATAAACTAACATATCGTAAGTATAATTACAATCGAGTTCTTGTATAACTGTTAATATAACATTTCTTACTTCAACAAATACATCAGAATCCTTTAACTCTATTAGGTTATTACTGGTAAACCTTCCTTTGTTTAGCTCTTGACAATATTTATACTTATCTACTACACCCACTTTAGGTATTATATTGCTGTTTGAAGGTGGTGCTGCACTCGATAATCCAACGATTGTCAGTAGCATGATCATCCAAATGAAAGTATTATAGAACGCCATTTCTGAATATTTGAATCGCACTAACCTTATTTTGTATTTTATTGCTTTCTTTGCAAAAAAAACCACATGTTTTTCTAGGTTCTATTTGGCTTACACCTAAAATAGAAAACAACTGCTAAATATTTACTCAACGATGAACAAAACCAAAACCAGTGGCGAATTTGCTATAATATGTACACTGTACACTCTACACAAAAATTTTGGCGAAATTATTTAAGCTTTAATTAAAAGCTGAGAAGGTAATGGTTTTAAAATTATAATATGATGAATTTAGTTTAGATGCAATAGCCGAGAAGGTAATGGTTTTATAAAGCTGTTTCTTTGTGTCTGTAGTCATGATACCTTTTCTTTCCTGTGGTCTGATTTACACGAGTAGCACCTCTATATATTTGAAATCGTATACGATTGTAGAAAAAGCCAACTCCTTCATTCTCGAAACCGGGAAGAAATGTAATAAATTTGGAATTTATTGAAAAAAAAAAATTGAATTATAAATTAAAACCATGTTGCCATTCTGCGAAATATAAGTCGGTGGCAATTAAAACATAGTCGTGAATGTGTAGTTGCCTATCAGCTGAATACTTAAGGCGCGTTCCTTGAAAATTCTATTGTTTTGTATAGTCAATATTTAAGAAAAAGGCGGTTTTAATAAAACTCGACCGTGCCAATTAATTTACCGGTTAACTTTGTATAAGGTTTGAGGTATTATTTTTAATTTAAATACATTTTTCTATGAGCAAAAGCAATTTTGGTTTATTTTAGACCAAAGAGCCAGACAAAATTTCGATCACATAGGATGGTCCAATTTCAATTCTGTAAAGACATTCGAGCTACTGTACAGTGTTACGTAGAAAGCCGATTTTCATTTGAAAATTTCAGTTTCTTGTAGTTAAATAAATACAATTTTATAAAAAAAATTTACATAAAAAAACCAAAAAATCAAAATCTGTTTTCTACATATTAACTTAGTAAAGTTGCCAAAGAACTCTTATATCTTTACAGAAATGAAATCAGACAATCCTAAGTAGTCGAAATTTTGTCTAGCTTTTTGGTCTGAAACGCCTAAAAAACAGACCGCATGCAATCCCACTAAACGATCCCCGAGTTATATAAGATGAGTAGCTTTTAATGAATTTAGAAAGTAAAAATATTATTGTAAACAACTCAAACACACACAATATGCTTTTATTTGATTTTAAAAAATTACAACATTTGGTTAGGAGTTATAAAAATATTGTGACAAAAGTGAATAGGAATAAAATATAGATTTTTAACATAAAAAAGGGACGTTTATTATAATATGTATAATGATCAATGATGGCAATGATAAGTAATGAATTTTTAACTTAGAAACTAATTTTGGCCAAGTGGGAAAAAAACAGTACATTTTTAAAATTTTAAATCGTTATCAAATATTAAATAAAAATTGCACAAAAAAAATATTATAAATAAATTTATATAATTCGTATATAAAATACACAAGGGCACCCTAAGTCCTCTTAGAATTTAATATAAATCATATAAGGTACAATACACAAATGTAGGTAGGAAATAGAAAAGTTTAACTACAATAAACATCACGTAGTTAATTACTATAGTTTTGTATACTCCTAATGTTGTCTTCTGTTTAACAGAGGCATTTCGTGAGGTTGTGTGCTGGAGTGTACAATGTCTTTCAATTCAGATCCGTTTCCTGTACAGATAATGTCTGTAAAAAAAAGAAAACAATAATAATGATGAATGAAAACTTAAAAATATTTTATTATATCGTCCATGGTAGACTTTAAATTTAACATTGTAACGGTTTTTTAGTTAAATTAAAATGATAGATACTTAATATGAACTATAAAAATAAAATATTATTTGAGTATTAGGCTTAGGCCCATTTAAAGTAATAAGAAATAACCAAACAGATGTTTTACTACTAACAATTTTTTTTTTAATTATGCGACATTTTAGTTTAAAAAAATAATTATCAAATAAAAGTTTATTTTAAGTTTTAAAATTGTTTGCTGCACTTTAAATGTTGGTTAGTTAATTATATTTTGTGTTTTTTTTTTGAAAAATAATCGAGTAAATTAAATCCTTCATAATTAAATTTTATCTGAAGGTTAGGCTGATTCAGATCAGATTGACCAGCTTTGAGTGGTTAAGTAATTTTGTATGATTTTTTAATAGAATAAATAAATTATAAAATAATCTTTAAAAAACTTCTTTATTTTCTATTTGAATGAAATTTTCAATTTGTTGAACATAATTCCATAACCCAACATCTATCTAACCCCGCCTAACCTATCCTAAGGGAACCTAAAAATAAAACTGATATGACCTCACATAGCGCAACAGCGTCAATCCACAATTAATTGCCTATCTCCTTAAAAAAACTGATGGTCTGGCTTTCTCTTAAAACATTGTGATTGTAAAATTAATAATTTATATATTATTTAATAGTTTTAATTTTTGTAATACAAATTACCATTGAGCGTGCTTTCTAATTCGTCATACGTGAAACAATGAACGATCTCGTCGACGCAGACACCCTGTAGAACGGCAAGAACGGTTTTCCTGGGATTGTAAAAACATAATGGTTGTTTTCTCCTTTTAAAGTCCATTATGAGTCCGGCTATTCCCTGTAACGTTATTAGAAAATAATTATTTTCCAGATGATATAATTATATTTACATAGTACTTAAGTATTAAATTTATTACAAATTTGCAAACGGACAAACTTAAAGTCGACATTGTTTAAAGCTTTTTAGTCTAAAACAGGCCTTCTCTGATCTTCTTATTTGTGTAATAGGTATTTTAAGGAGAGCGGAAAGTGCTATTTAACAAAGCGTAAAATGTAGGAATTATTCGTCGAAAAGTTACTTAAAAAGCACTTTAATATGCCTTCATTAATAAAAAATTATCATATGAATAAAAAGTTTTATATTTGTTTTCAAAGAATTTATTTATTTTTAATATTAATAAAATGTATTTAAAATAATATCGTAAACACACCATACAAAATGAATAAAAAAAAAATATTCGATACCTAACAAAATATTTAAATCAGTAATAGTACTTTTTGAAATTGTTTTAATAGATTTTATAGTAAAAAAGTTTTAATAAAAAAAGATAATTAAAATATTCATTACAAACGTTTTAAAATAACGGTTTTTAATAAAATATATTCAAGCAAAAATTAAGTTTCACAGACATATAAAAAAATGTTTACAGAAAAGTTTTTGACTGAGACCGATTTACTTGAGTAACTCACGCCAGATAATTGAATATTACATTTTTTTTTTTTTAAAACAATAGCAATTAATTTTCTAATAACATTAAAATGTGTATAATATAAACTATTTTTTTTTTTATAAAACAACAGTTAAAAGTATAGCTTAGTTTAGCTATTAGCTTTTACATTTTTTGAAATAAAAACTTAATGTTTAATTTGACCCATGTTTGATGAAATAATGCATTAACGATTTTGGTCAAAATTATCCAAAAAATGGTCGCCCGAAAAGCCTTTTAGCTCTATTGCAAAAGTGAAATTATAATAAGCATTTCAAATGATTTTGGTTTTATTGTGGTTTCTAAACATACTTTAGCAGCTGTAAAGTCGGCCTCGAGTATGTGTTTACAGTCGACGACAACCGGTAATTTGGACTGTCCCATTTTGATGGCGGCTCTATCGGTTTTGGCCCGCATAAAGTCCACCGCCGGAAAGTAAAGGCTATTCTCCGGAGTGACCAACAAATACTCAAAGCCGGTTCTCAACTGAAATACATGATAATACCAATATTATAATATATTGTATTGAACCAAATAATAGAGACATTTAAACATTGACGGCGTCTCACTTTTTTCATTTCAATGTGTAGAAACGGTCTGGCCGACGGTATGAGCAACAGGATTATGTTGATTGCCACTCCCACCAAAATACCCAACTCGACTCCAATAGTCAAGCACAACACAAACGTGGCAAAAGTAGGTATCAAGTCTTTACCTAAAAAAAAAAAAAAAATGAAACCAGCTTAATCAATTTTTTAAAATAATAATTATTACACAATTTTTCACGCACGAACAAAACTTAGCTATTATTCAAGTAACAAATTATTACAAAAAATAAACTGTACATTTGAATCGTCCAAATGATAAAAATCAAGATAAAATGTTTTGATGATACAAATGTATTTAATCAAAATTTATTTAAATTTCTGTTTTTTTCAATTTTATTTCAAACAACTTATTATTTCAACCAGTAAAAAAACATGTATTTAAAATGAAAAATAGTTTGATGCAGTCAGTAAAAATATATATTTATATTAAAAGTAGAAAATAAATACTTTTTTTAACTGAACATTTTTTTTATGTAACAAATAAAAAATGATTTGAATAGCTTGTTGACTCAAATACGTTTGTTTATTATTTAAATATAAAATTTAATCAAATATTTAAATTATCAATTACTTTAAACAATTTATTATTTATACCAGTGAACAAAAAATGTTGAAATGAAGAATTATTTAACAGTCAATAAAAATGTAAAAATATTATATGGGTATATTCTTTTTACTTTTCTCGCTAAATATGAATAAAAATGTTTATTTTCTATTTAACCGCTCTAAAGCTGTGGGAAACAAAAGAATGTTGGTATTTTTAGTAGGTGTTTGAATTATTTCCTAAAATGTATTTAAAATAAATAGTTTTATTCTATTTGCTTTGCTGAATTCAGATATGGTCTCATAATAAATTAGTAGTTTTAGGTTTTATTTATAACAATTTTATAAGTTTGTAACATGAAACATATAGCAAAACAAAAACATTTATGTATTTTAGTAATATTTCTTTTAAAAATGTCAAATTTAGTATACATTGTTCCTTTAGTTTTTAAAGTTGTAATTACTTAAAAATAAAAATAAATATAAGATGATAAGAACATAAACAACGCAGTTAAAATTGTGTATTTTTTTATTCTAATATGTATACAGGTCATTGTAGTATAATACATACTATAAGAGAGATGACCTAGTAATATTATATTTGCATTTATAATCTGGTCATAAATAAAAAAAAAAAAAAATACCGTATTCTAATCCAGCTATAAATTGTAGGATTTTTACATATAATATATATACTTACGACTGGATTTCCACATGGGTTTGACGATTTCGTACTCGATCATGAATATAACGGCACTGATGATGACTGCTGCCAGTGACGCTTTGGGTATAAAGTAAAAGTAAGGAGTCAACAGACTCAACGCCAATATGATAAGTAACCCTGCATTTAAAACACATTTGAGCATAAATTATTACCTTATTATAATGCGATGGCTTACAACAATGGCGAATCCCTAAAACGGTTAACTTTAAATGTGTGGTTAAGGGTTTATAATATTTAATTATTTTATAATAATAAATTGTCTCTTGAATTCGGCAAAGGCATTAAAACGGTCGGATAACAATTTGTAGGCAGTGATCCAAAGTGGTTTGGGGAGATATAATTCTCTCTAGTATCAAATTTAGCTCGAGTACTCCAAATTGTTTTTAAAAAGGATTATAATACAATTTGAGATTATTTAATTACTCTCAGGCCTCAGGGTCAGGGGTAAAGTCTTACTATATTGAGGATATAAACTACCTACATGAAAATGTATGTAATGTTACAGCGGTTACTTAGAAAGAAGTATAGCTATTTGTTTGTGCTAATTTTAAATTGTACACTTTATTGTGTACTATTTTTAAATTATACTTAGCTGCTACTGACTGCGTTAATGCTTCATAAGTTAAAAAAAATGTATATATAGCACAAAGGTAGATATTTCAAAATATTTTTAAAAAAAGTTAAGAATATTTAATTTTAAGTCTCTAACCTATTAAATACACTGTATTGAAAACCGGAGTTGTTATAGCTATATTTGGTTAATTGTTTTACCAAAACCGCGAACAGTACTTTTAACAGTCGAGTAAGTAGTAAATACCTGTGTAAAGTCCACCCATTGGCGTCCGGACACCGCTGGCGTGGTTAACGGCGCTCCTGGAAAACGACCCTGTAACCGGCATGGAAGAGACAAACGATCCCAACAAATTGCAAACTCCCAAACAGTACAATTCTTGGGTGGCGTCCACCGAATTACCGCTGGCTGTGAAAAGTGAAAAATGGCAAGCATAATTATTATTATTTCTTTGGCTTTCGAAATCATCAACAAAAAAGTACAGGCTCGTTAAGTTCGTGTTGCGTACCAAAGGCCTTGGCGATGGCCACGTTGCCCAAGACGGCGATCACGGGCACCAGTATGATAGAAGATCCTAGATTCAGGCACATGTCGATGAACCCGATTTCCTTGCCGTTGACGACCGTACTAAATGGCGGTAATTTCAAAGGCGGCAATCCAGACCGTACGTTTCCTAAAAGAATGAAAAAAAATTCTCAATCGCAGCTGATGTAGTATTTGTTTTGATGTGTATTTTTCTGTTAAAAAAATATTTCAACTAGTTTTATTGATTTTAAGATTCAAATTATTGTGTTTTAAAAATGTAAATATTTCGTCGATTTCCGAGAAACTTTGAACATTTTTGAAAAAATTAATCATACAGACTATCATAACTCTGTCGACGTAGATATTAAGTAACAAGGCAAGCAAGGCAACAATTTATGTTGATATCAACAAGTACCCATTTTATACATTTTGACATTTTTTTTTTATAAAATTATGTAAATACGTTTTAGTGTAAATAAAAATGGGAATAATGACTCATAAATATTGTATTAATAACTCTATAACATAAATATTGTTTAAGCAAATGTTGAAATAATAAAATGAACTAAGTATTTATTTAAAATAACAGGTTATTTGAAACAGTCAGATACATATTTTAATACAAATATATTTTAACAACTCATTATTTTCAAAACGACTATTTTTTGTTTGTTATCTAAAAATAATAAAATATGCCAAGGCTTGTTAGAAACCTAAATTTTACGATAGTTCGACGGTTTATATCTTCAATACTTTTTTTTTGTCATAAATCGCCCATATTTAAATAAAGTCTGTGCCTGCAGTTTTGCATAATTTTGCTTTTTTTTTTATAATCGTTCAGGGAAAGTGCATTTACCGATAAATAAATATTATAGTCACAAAACATATGTAGTGTGGCGCACTCTAAGGACCATTTGAAGTTAATTAACATATTAACACAATTATAAGCGCAAAGCGTCAATATCAACTCGGCTATTTGATGCAATGACATCTTATGTAAAGCGAATCAGTCAAATAAGACGATAAAAAATTTATATTTTTTTCATTCTTCACTGGTTTCATAAATAATTTTGTTTTTATTAGAATGAGATCACAGTTACGTTTTTTTTAACACACTTATAAAGTAATACCAAACGTTGGTATTAAGTTTTCGTACCGTTTATTATCACCGCTATAGGCTAATACGTTATGGTTATTTTGTACTTACCGATTAGCGTGACGTACGGTTCTATGTCTGGTGAATGGTAACAATAAGCGAGCATTGAACACACCAGCACGATCAAAGCGTTTCTGGCTATGGACAGTAACCACAAGCCTTTCATGATCGTCCTTTGTTTGTTCGAGGGCTTACCGTTGGGGCCGACTAGTTTTATGTCTTTCATTTTCTAAAAAAAAAAAAAACAATATATAAGACTATTGCAGCAATTCCAACGGATAATAAAACGGCGTGCATTGTATTCGCATTTACTCTGAGCAACAGCAGTATGACGATCGAAGTGACTCCCAGGATGGTGTCGTTGGCCCTGAAGTTGCCAATGTTCTGGTAGACTTTTGTTAGGCAATCCAAAAAGCCGGACGACTCGAACTTAAGCCCCAGCAAGCCCTTCAGCTGGGACACTGCTATTATCACAGAAGTAGCCGAAGTGAACCCGACGGTTACGGGAATCGAAATAAAATCAATTAAAACCCCTGAAAACAAATTCGGCAATTATGTGATTGAAAAAAAATAACAAATCATTTTGTCACAAACAACCAAATAATAGTTGAAGTAAAATATATTTTGTACATCATCATCATTATCATTTATATATTTTTATCTAGATTCTAGATAAAGATTATTTTATTTTATGCCAAAAAAAATAATGTTATTAAAAGTATACTATAATATTTTTTTAACGATTACGGCATTACATAAATGCCAATCACACATATTTTTATCGCTAAACATTATGTTGTATAACAGAACTGGTCAGAGGTCTTGAATGGCTGTTATCGTACACCTAGGTATTAATGAAAAACACACTAGTGATTAATTATCAGTTTAACCTAGACGATGCGTTAAGTAAAAGCTACGAATTGTGTATTGTCAGTTGACTTGGTTGATATTTGAACATTTTGGAAATTAAGGTAAGTTTTTCGTTTTGTTATCCCTACTTTTAATTTATAATAATGATCATTATTAAATAATAATCGCGTTACATATAAAAAATGTGTGTTATTGTAACAGAATATTTAACATATACCGCAAAATGATATTGTATTACACCAAAACTCAAGTAAAGTGTATTAAGGGTTTTTATATTTGTAAATAGATACTTAAGGAGAACAGAAGAATCAGATATTTATTAAAGTTTAATAAGTAGTAATTATATTTGACACATTCGATGTAGAAGTAAATTTTAAACACCGACACTTATTTAAAATTACCTGAGTATTATGTTTTTCTAGTTACATAACTTCTAAGTTATTTTAATTTGAGTTATGCCAAATGTTTTAACGGATTTAAGCTTACGACGATTTATACTTTATTTATTAGAAAATTAGTTGGATACATTTTTTTTTGTCGACAGGGAGCCGATAATGTTTTTACTGTGCGACAGTTGGGTCATCTCACTGCTAGCATATCCTGTTGTTTTTGCCGCGTTATTTTATTCGTATTTGAAATACCGTTACACATTTTGGCAACGGCAAGGATGTCCCGTTCCATTGGAACCACATATCATATACGGTCATACGATGGACGTGACCAAGATGAAGGCTTGGGTGGGCCAACATTATGCGAAAATATACTACGACATGGAGGGCTACAAGTTTGCCGGTTTCTATCAGTTTCAAAAGCCGAAACTTATGCTTAGGGATTTGGACATCATCCGGGAAGTCTTCACAAAGGAGTTTGCCACGTTCCCCAACCGCGGTATCGTGTTCGATGACAAACTAGAACCTTTGACGGGCAACTTGCTGACGTTGGAAGACCACAAATGGAAAGTGCTCAGGAACAAGTTGACCCCCGCGTTTACCATAGGAAAAATCAAAAACATGGTCGAACTCATCGACGGCAGAGCCCAAGAGATGGTCAGAGTCCTAGAATCGTCAGCGGAGATCGGAGATCAAGTAAATCAATTATATTGTTTTTCTTCAGGCCAATTTCGCGGACGGATAAATATATTATACTTTTTTTTTTTTGTATTTTCCAAATACAACCACCTAACCACCATGTCCAGTTATCTGGCAACGACTGTAGACTATAGTTGTTGTTTCACGAAAACTGAGGTTTGACTGTGCCACCCCTAATTTTGTTTCGTTTAGGTCGAGTTCAAAGAGCTTTTGGCCAGATTTTCCACGGACGTGATCAGCATCGTGGCTTTCGGCTTCGAGACCAATTCGCTGGCCAACCCCGATGCGGAATTCCGTGCTGTGGGCAGATCGCTGTTTACCATCAGACTGGAAACAATCATCAGGAACGCCATGAACGCTCTGGCTCCTAACCTGATCGGTTTGTTCAAAGTGCGCAGCATCAAAAAGGAGCACGCTGACTTTTTCTACAACGTGGTCAACGAGACCGTCAAGTACCGGGAAGAGAACAATGTCCAGAGAAATGATTTTTTGGACTTGCTGCTCAAGATCAAAATGGGTCATAATTTGGCCGACGACGAGAGCCGGGCCATTTTCAACGGCAACGAAAACAAAGATGGTAAAAAAAAAATCATAGACGTATCTAAACTTTGACATGAGTACTTCAAAAAAGTACATTTCCTAATCAATATTTATAAACACGAATTTATGACACATAACTGGGAAATAGTTAAGCCCAAACCGGTGTGGCCAATATTAGCTCGTTTATAATATATAGTTTTAGCCTATATATAAACCAGAAAAAGAAAAAAATGTGACTTCTCTGATAATTTCCAAACGAGAATCCGGAAAAGTCTGCGCTGTTAGGGAAGTTAAATAGATTTTATTGTTAGCTAACACAAAAATATAAACGTTTCAAACTTTTACCATTTCAGATTTCGAGTTCACCATGGACGTGTTGGTGGCCCAGTGTTTCGTGTGGTTCATCGGCGGCTACGAGACCTCGTCTATCACGCTCACGTTTACCCTTTTCGAGCTCACACAGAATCCGGAAGTGCAAGCTAGGGTACAAGAGGAAATAGACACGGTGCTCGACAGGCACGGCGGCAAGATAACCTACGAGATTCTACAGGAAATGACTTATTTGGATATGGTCGTGTCTGGTTAGTGCACCGACAGTAAATTTCATCACCGGTCAATACATTTTAATTTTCGTGTCGAGTCTGGATTCTGGCGGCCGCGCTTTATCATCTTGATTTTGTATTTAAGCTTCTTCCCAAACTACATAGGAATGAAAATCCAGCGGACTGTTAACCAAGACTCAAAATTCGTGTTTACCTTTACCGGTGTTGTTATGTAATCGCAATTGCTCATTGTAGAATGCGTTTATTGTTTTCAGAAGCCCTAAGGATGTACCCTCCGGTGCCCAACCTGACGAGAAAGACGATAAACCCGTACAAGTTCGCCGACTCGGATTTCACGATGGCCAAAGGTCTTCAGGCGGTCATACCCGTGTACGGTATCCATCGCGACCCCAAGTACTGGCCGGAGCCAGACAGTTTCATACCTGAACGGTTCACTGAGGACGAGAAACGCAACAGACACCAGTACGCGTACTTGCCGTTCGGCGCCGGTCCCAGACTTTGCATAGGTATGTCGCGTTGCAGGGGTTAAATCACCACTGGTAATCAGTGTACACATTTTTGTAAAAAACCTCTGGTAGTCTTTAGAAATAGTTAGTAAACTTAAGTGAGGGCGACCCTAGATCAAGCTTATGGAGGGCAAATTTTGTTTAGTGAATACTGAATTCCGACTACTTTTGCGACAATGGCACAAATAATATTGTTGTACAACAAATTTTCAAGTAGAAATTGCCCTAAGTTTTAATTTTTAAACTTTATAAGTATAAGGTAGTATTTTTTAAAAGTTTTTATTTTTTATTTAGATTAGTTCTAAACTCTTAAGGTATTAAAATAACTTAACACTTCGATAATTGTTAATGTTTTCTATAAATTCGAAAAATTGTTGTACTACTATTTGGTTGCAAATGATCTCTAAAATTATCTGACCAAGTTTTGGCGTTTGAATTTTAGAGATCCTTTATTTGTATAATTTTAGATTACAAAAACTTAAGCCACCCCCAATTAGTAGTATTTAGAAATTTCTTGAAATGTGGTGTGTAACATAAATTTCTAATAGAAATTTACCTTCTGGTGTGTCGAGTCTCTTCAAACACTTGTAATTATATATCTTTAGTCTTCACCTTATTCCAGACAATAGTAGTCGTTGGCCAGCCAAACGAAAAAACCCTCTCTTTCCACACATACGACTTTATTTATAATACCTACGACTTTATTTATAACATTTATTCACTTATTTTGTGGTCTTTTACTTCTACATTCTTCCTTTCTTTCAACACGCTCAAACCATTATATCTTCTATTTATAATTTTATAGCTTCTACTCATAGATTGTCTCTGCCTTTTTCTAGAAACCGACGCATTGAGTTGCATACAAAATCGTTAAATATTAATCCTTAGGCCAAATGTTTCAGGTATGCGATTCGGCTTGATGCAAATCAAAACCGCACTAGCCAGACTGTTGTCCGCGTATGACTTTACATTGTCAAAGAGCATGGAGCTACCAATCAAAATGAACCCTAAGAGCATACCGTCCAACCCAGAAGGCGGCATGTTCTTACATGCCACCAAGAGAAATCGTTAATTAACACAGACCTCTCTAATATGTAATACTAATTAAAACAAATACAATACATATATACTTACCTTGTATATATATTATTATTTAATATATTAACTCCGTTGTCATTACTTTTATATAAATATGTGGTTTTTTTTCTGTACATACCGAGCTTTAAAGATCCCATGATGAACTGCAATATGCCGGACAAGAAGCACAGCAAAACGGCATAATCCGAGCTCCTGCCGATGACTTGTTGGTAAGTCATCAAAGCCATAAGCGCCGTAGGTCCTATCGTTATGTCTTTGCAACTGCCGAATACTGTGTAAACTATACATCCGGCAAACGCTGAGTACAAACCATACTGAAACGAAAATAAAACACGTCAAATCAATAACGTTTATACTTAAAATGTGAGTCTCATTGAGAGCTGCTGTTTCTGCTCATTTGGACTTTATATTAATCCAGATTTCAATTCACTGTGTTGTGTACGTTACGTTAATGGTACCTTTCTGTACTTTATTTTGTCCACATAACCTAACTTAACCCTTTCAATTAAATAGACTCTAAAGAGAATATTAGAATTTTGGTTTCAAACCAACCAGATAACACAGAGACAAAATCTTAAATGAGTTGTATTTTAATACTGAAACACCTACATATTTTTAATTATAGACTCGAAAATACACCCAAAATTTAATGTTTTTATGGACATAGAGTTCTGAATCCTGCTTATACACAATGCAATTTTAGGATTTTACCTTAAACTATAGTCGAATGATATTTATTCACTGTATGAATTAAACTTAACAATGTAAGTGTACTATTTACATATTGGGCAGATATTCCAAAGGCTTTTGACATTCTAAATGATTATCTGTAAGCATTGTGGTTTTGCAGATGTGTAAATATTAACTAAACGCAATGCAAGTTTCGAACAAAAACATAAAGTATTAATAACAATGTAAAAAATGTATTGTGAACTATACATCTTTAAACAATGGTCGAAGAACTTTGGTTCTGACTATTATTTCCACTGAATTTGCGAACCTATGCTTAGAACTTCTTAAGCGCGTCTAGTTATTCTAAAAACATAAATTACTACTACCTTCGGATCTTCAACGGCATTTTTTAATTAGACAGAACTGTTGTGAGTAATTTTTAAAATAAAAATTCATCAAAAGGATTCTCCCTATCATACGACCCTACAGCCCATTGGTGTGTTGGTGTTGTTCCACAATACGGATTCATAGTTAATGTTACACTCATTTTGAAATGCATATCAAAATATCCAATTTCAAACACCAAAAGGCGACTTGGTAATTTATATTGTCGTGACGTCAATTATTCGATTTGGTCTGACGTTTTAATAATTCAATTTATTTGGGTAGGTGCAACGTTCAAAGATAACAGTATTTTTTTAATTTTTTTTTTTAAACAATTAACACGCTATTAGTTCAAATATGGATATTGTGTACGTTAGAGTCGATTTAATACAACGATATAATAATACATACTTAACAACATCTGCCAACGTGGGTTTTTTTTTTAACTCGTTTGCAAATAAAAACTTAACATCAAAATAAACTCTAAACGGTAATGACATGGAAATTAAATTTATTGAAATTTATATTAGTCCTACTTCAATCATAATTTCGGTCACCCGTCCGGCACAACTATAAAATTCCTGATTAATTACATAACAAATACGATTTTCTTTACATTTCTTTTGATTAAGTTGTGATTATTAGTTTTGTGTGATTGTTATTTTTAAGTAGAACTAAAAGCAAAATATATTTAAATATAATTGTTAAAGTGAGCTATTGCACATTTTTGAAGAACAGTGAACTAGACTTCACTAGAGTAAACGTGGCTTAACAAATAAATGTAATTATTTTAAAATGCACAAAGGAATGTCTTTGGTTTTTAAACAATAAACAACCATCGTCTTAGATTAAATATCGTTAAATGACATTCTTGAGAAAATATGCTTTAATAAAAGAACTATTTTGTTAATAGTAAATTTGTACTCCCACAAAGTCCTTCTTCTGTCCTAACTAAACCTAAGCCAGGGCAGCTCTCTTCCAAAAAACAGATATTCAAACTTACGTCAAAACACACAAATATTTAAAATATCATATTACATAATAAAACTAATTAATTAGTTTAAATAGGATTACTTTTACACTACTCTTTTTTTTTTTTTTTTTTACTATGATTTATTCTTTAGTAGATTTTCACTAACAAGTGAAAGGGAATTTAACTGCAACTTAATGGGGTAAGTATGCGACTATAATATATACATTTTTTAAACAAACAGATTTTAAAGTGTTATAACGATAAATACGTTTAAAAAATAATTATTATTAACAAAATTGAAATTGCACTTGCAGTTACACCACACTTTACCAATTCAATTAAAATATTGTCTTTCGGTTTTTTCCGTTTAGCAATCTCTTATTATGTGGTTGTATTTTACCTGCGGCTCAAGACCGGCCAGCGTCGCGTACGCCAGGCCTTGTGGCATGACGGTTAGTCCGACGGTGACCCCAGCGATTAAGTCGCTAACCGCTTGATCGGTATCGTACTTGGGCAGCCAAGAAACGATCGGCAAACGCTTTCTGAGTGCTTTGCCAACTGACTGATACCGTTTCGCTCGGTATTTGGCGGCACCTTGGTATTCCGACATGACTACCTCAGTCCAAATATCTGTAAATAAAAATAATTCCTCAATAGGTGTATATAACTGCTCTATAGGTTACCTACTCGTGCGTTACAACTCACGCCGTATTACATTTGGAAATTTGTTATAGTCGTTAATACAAGTCACCATACTTGCTATCGAAGTGATGAAAATCAAAAGGGCAAAAATGATTTTAACAATATCGTACAGGTGACCGAAATGACAATTATGTTCTTATAGATTGTATGAAATCAATCATAATGGAAGTTAATGAACATCAATAAGCTCAAAAAGTGACGCAAAAATAAAAAACTACTGTGCAAAGTGTCGACAAAAAATATTACTCCCATAATATTGTACCTTTTCTAGTTTTCATCACTTCAATTAAACAAGTTAACCCAGTAGAGCAGAAATACAACTCTGGCGAACCACTGGTCAGGATAAAGGCAGATATGTATAAACATGTTATAAATATACACAATATTAATAATTCCATTCGTTTGTTAATACTGTTGCATATGCTACAACAAACAGTACAAAGTACTATGAAAGTTTCTTGAATATCTGCTCGACTTTATTTACGCAGCAGTTGATGTGATGACAAGAAATATCGTTTACATTTATATGAGCTTAGTGTCTAGTGTAATAAAATTATACAGAAAGTTTTATCGAATAAAGCCGTTACTTCTGACGAAAAACATTACACGTTTTTTCTTACTACCTATAACGGCCATTAGGTGTATAAATAGAATAATTTTGTGTTCAAAGTTCAAAAACCAACAAAATTGTTTTTTGAATGTACGTTGCCATCATAAATCTTCAGGAAATTCATTGTATTTCGCACTTGTTAATATAATTACTGATCCCCAAGAAATTCAATTTTAAAACAAAACAACCGTTCTTTTTATGTGAACTTATTACCAAAAATATTTTGTACATAATACCTACCTGAAGTGTGATTTTTGCATCTGATTTTCATTAAGCTGATGTAAACAATGATAGAAAAATACAGCTGTTAAACGTGAACGAGATAAAGAAAATACCGAACAGATCGATAACAGATATTATCATTATCGATAATCTACATGTTAATCGGTTGGTTATGTTTTCTGTGATGTGTTTGTTACAAAAAACAACCAATGCATAATAATAATAATAATAATGACAACAATAATAATAAATGACTGATTTTTATTATTTAACTCATAAGTCCTTCAAACCTACTTCTTTCTGGAGCAAAAGTAATTAGAGGAAACGAATATAAGGCTGAAGTTACTCTAAGTAATTTAATAGTTATCGAACGTTAATTTTTCTAATTAAATAATTATAAAAATCACAAAAAGTTAATCCGGTAATATGTAATCTAACCTATTAATAGATCACAAAAATTATTTTAAATTATTTAATATATTTATACATATTTAGTATGTTTAATATATTCAACCTACCATTCAAAATAATTGTATTTTCTAACAAAAAAAAAAGTTAATGAAAACCACTTTGTTGACATTTATTTTTATTTTTTAATTGAGCCACAACAGACTTTTAGTTTAGGAACATTTATACCTCGATATTCTGCCAAATTTCTTTACTAGTATTCTTGTTTATATTTGTCTTTATTGGTTGTTAAACCAATAAATTATCAGTATAAAAGTTTAAATGTGATATAACAACCCTTCTTTTCCATGTATTTTTACTCTGGCTCGAATTCAAAGCATTTGAAATACTTAACGCACAGAACAAAGTTACAATGGATTTAAAATGTATATGTTAAATCATGTTTTTTTTCCAAAAATGTTTTAAACAAAATGTCCGTCTATACATAATTACCTTTTCAATAAAAAAATGTATTAATACGATTATATTAAAAAAAAATCTTTAAAATTGCATAACAAAAAAAAAATATTGTTCTATAATGATAGTAAAAATATTATTATTTTGCAAAAATGTATTCAAGCCGATTAACCAAAATCAATAACCTCATTAGAAAATGCATACTTGGAAGCGAAATCAAGTTATCACTTTAATCAAGTCGGTTATTTTGTACTTATTTGGTGTTTCGCTTGGTCAATATTAGTTCCATTGGTTAAGTTAACAAAAACACATATTGGGCAATGGGTTCGTTGACGATACGACACACTGCGTCATTGACTTTACTGGTATGTTGAAATAAAAAAATATATATTTTTATTTAAGCAAAATATTATGCGTCAAATTGTATCGAAAATGAGACGGTATAGAACCGATTAAGAAAAATAGCACATTGGAGGTTATCTTGTGAATTTAGGGATTGTACATTTTTCTCATAGGTAGTCCTAAATAAACGGTGTGGCGTCATTCTACATGGAACATATCTAATAAGATTAGTAATTTTATAATATTGTTAAATACCTACAATAACAAACATATTTAAAAAAAGAAAAACTACAAAATTGCAATAATTTCAAGAGAGAAAACGAACGTGTCGTCCTTTATGAATCATCCCGTACTGTCTTTAACAAGATATCCTTTGTACGCTTTATAGATTTACATTTTGATCTTGGCCAAGCGCTGCTGGTCGTCGACGCCTGGAGATGAATAAAACGCGCATAACAAATTCCTACATGTTTTGAAATATAATTGTTGTTCCACGGTGGTGACCCTAATATGCAGTAGAAATAATGTGTTAAGTCGTCCTCATTGTTGTACTGTCGCCGAATTTCAAAATCCGTAACCCCACGGTTCACCGGGGGGGAAACAAAATCGCGTGGGCAAAAACAATGTGCGATGACTATCTTACGGTTGCGTGCTAACCCGAGTGTCCCTGTGTGTTTGCACGTACCATTCGATCGACTAGGATCTTCCGATAGAAATATAAATAATAATAATATTATTATGTATGCTCATTCACTATTGTGTGCAAAACACAAGAACGACATCCAATCGACCTTGTCTGCGCCGTCGATGAATAGTCAAAATCGAGAAAAAGAACTGGCCGCCGTAGGCCTACACAATGAGAATCGTATTGCGACATTTTCCCAAGATGGTAAACTTCGATAGCATATATTTAACTTCTTTTAAAAAGCCATGTTTGTATGTTAACTCCGAAAAAATGATAAAATTCCCTTTCACACATAGTCTTTCCTCCGTTCTTGACGTTCAATGTCCATTTCGGAACTTACAACAATATTTTACGTGACAACTTGGATATCTTCTAGAGCGTCGATGAATTGAAAAAAATTATAGATAATGACAATTTTTTGTTAAAATTTTCGAGGACGATACCTAAATTTTAAAAGTAAGAATGTCTGTAAGTACCCCTACATCCGTAATGTTATCACAAAATTGTGTATTTTTATTAATAGATGATATTTCAGATCAAAAATAAAACAGCCCATAATTAACATGGTTAAAAAACATCAAGGTCTCGCCGGCCAATTCGTAAAAAGAAACAAGACAATTAGGTCGTCCTAAACATACAGGTTCTATAGGTGTGAAAATAGGTCAATTGTTTGTATCCCTGAGAGAAAAAAACAAATCCACAACCGCAACGTGTAATCGTTGGACGGGTATCGCACAAGGTAAAGAAAACCTTTCATGTGGTAAGCGTACCTATGCCAAGCAAACGGTTAAAGATTCAACGTCTCATGGACGGATATTTTACGGATTTCAGTTAAAACGACAATAAACAATGAAAAATATCATACCGGAAATATAATATATGAGCGTTAGTGACATAAATAGTAACTGTTGAAATACCATGTTTCCCATTTCAATTATAAGAAAGAACTACGATGCAGGAAGTCTGTGGCGGAAACAAAATAAACCATACTACTGTTCATGTACGGTTGCAGGTTAATTGTCCGTTAAAACGTACACGAAGCCCTACGACTTGGTAGTAATTGTAAAAGGACTTATTGTAATAATTTTTTTGTTTTGTTATAATTAAAATTTAATGAAGCGAATCGGCCTTGGCGACTGACCAAGGATGAGTTTCTGAAATGCTGCATTGGTTTTAAGACTGGAAAATCGTATAATTATTACATTTTTTTATTTCTGTCGTCATTTGAATTCATATAGTAACCACAACAGACAGCTACGTGATTTATACTCAAAACCAATGGTGGTGCCACATCCGTTTTTTATACCTACTATCACCACTTTATATTATGTCAACCGTTGTAAGAGGACCGAAAATAGTTTGAAACCAAGTTACAATGAAACCATGACATGTTAAAGCCTAATTTTGATTTCTATAAGAGAAAAAAATACAAAACAACCAATAGACAATTAGGCAATTTTCAATAGACAAATAAGGTTGTTTCTCTTCTCTGCTAGTTACACAATCACTATATGATACATTTCTATTTAAATTCCATGTGCATTATATCATAAACTGACTAAATTTCACATAAAAAATAAACGAAAATTCAGGAAAATCCGATAGCTAAGTCAATAACAATTAATATAATTTTCATATAAGTTTTATAATTATTTTTAAAAAATCCTCTTTAACGATAAGCTCAAGTCGAATAACCATCAAATCTATAATTTCAAAAATTAATTTTAAGAAACGTCTCAGCTGAATAGATATTTCTAAGGTTCAATGATAAATATTTATTTGTAGTCAACGTTGGTCATTTGAACCATTTGGCCAAAGTGACGTTCCAACTAGCACAGTTGTGTTATTTTTTATGCGCTTTCGGTGTCGCTTTAGGAAAAAAAACAATAGATATAGGTACATCAACTGTCTTCAGAAAATATTTCTCAACTGATCATTATTGCATAAGGTCTTTAAGGTTTGCATTGAAACTAAATATTTATCGCACCGCATGTGTCTCATTATAATAATCTAATCATTTTAATGTTTCTCCCGAGATGTGGGTTAGATGATAACGAACCCTATTGTTTTACAAGAATATATTCGACATATTAGAAACTTGAAGCATAAAAGCGGTCAGGATTAGCTAGGCAAATGAAATTTAGTTGGGCATTATTTAAACGACTCTGATCGAACTCTCTCGAATAATCTTTCAATCGTGTTATC